CCTCACTGTTAAGCGCAAACCAACAAAGGCGACCAAAACTTGCCAATCATAGGCAGAGTAGACCGTGTCTTGGTGGAACACCGGTAGGTACTGGTACGCATTAAGATGTCGGATTTATTACTCCGATCTGATTTGTCTTTTTGACTGTTCACACTAAGGTCGCATTGCAAAAAATCAGACCTGCAGACATTTGCAAGTTTTTGAGTTGTTGAATGTGCTACAGTTGACTTATGAATTATGTAGCCTGTTAACTGATGTCACCAGTAAGCCTAGGTGCAACACAAATCGTGTTTTTCCAACAAATTAGCTCTGGTTCTTGAACAGGTTCCGTTCAAGTCATTGAGAACCGTGTTGCTATGTAGTTAACCAGCCTGTATTTCCACCAACCTTTGTAATCAAGGATGTGTCATCAACAAAAGGTGTTGCACAAGGTCTAAAAGACACATTAGGTTCCACAAGAAAACATTAGCCTGAAAGCTAACCTGGGCTGCAGTACAAAGTGAGGCTTATTTTTTGGGCAGGTTGCTGTCTGGCTTTTAGTTTGCCATCAACTGGCCATCAGACTGTAGTCACTGTCGATCCACTGTATTCTGCCTAAAGGTCTGAAATGGAATGGTAAAGCTTCAGATTTGTAATAAGTTTGGGTTTAGCCTTTTTTCAAAAGCAAATTATTGAGAAATTTCTCCTTCTGATGTGCCAATCATCTGTATCCGTGAAGAGAATTCCTGAAACAAGGAAAGCTACACTGGGAAAAGGTGAAACTGTTTGTCTCCAATGAAATTCTCTCTATTGTCAGAAATGGAATATACTATTTATAGGTATGTTTTCATTCATGTATCACCTAAAAATAAGAATTTTCCGTTTTTAGCCATTTTAAGCCGTTTTTATCTAAAGAGGGAGTGGCAGTTCAATGCCATGTTGAACTGCCATGTGTCTACAGTAGCCCAGAATGGACAAACCAAACACTGGCTCCACATAGGGCCTTTTGCATTCTTTGTGAATTTTGCTGCCACCATAATTTCTCTTACATGCTTGGAATGCAGATAGTGGCTATCTGTGTTTGTTTTACTTTTGAGAAAGTGGATGCTGACACTTGTGACATTAATAACTAAATACAGTGGAGGTGAATGGAACTTTATTTATAATGGTCAAAGCACTGAATCCTCCGCAGTTAACAGATTTCAGTCTACTTGCTACCAAAGAAACAGATAACAGTTGATAATGAGAGCTTATAATTATCCAGAGTAGCTAATTCAATTCACTTCCATTTTATTGTGACAGTATACGTCACAACCACACATACAACTGAAACGATCTGCAGGGTTAGTTTAGAGAAAGTGTTGTTAGGGTTAAGGCTGAATTCTATAATTACTTTTCACAAAATGACTTACACTTACAAATAACATGGCTATTTTTTTAGTATACAAATGATAATGTTTTTAAAAATTCAAACCACATTACCCATAATCCCAGGAGTTGCTATATTGCTGCTGTTAAATGATGACACTCCCTGGTGCTTCCACCAAAGCTATTCCATCTTGTGGAAAATGTGGCCCCTCCTTTCCACCTCTTATATTTGAATGTGAGCAATGTGTCCAGAAATGGGTATCCGTGTTTAAGTGTGTGTAAAGCGTGATAAGGGAGAATGGGATCTGATAGGGCATGATAAAATACCTGGGTAATGTCTAGGTGGATTTTTATGTTTCTCCCGAGGAGCCTATGTGAGGATGTTATCTCCAGACTGGGAAGCCATGTTTCCCCCTCCAGGGAATCCCCCCCACCAATACCACCACCCTCAAGCACTGGTTATGCTGGGCATATGTCCACTCTCTCTCCCCACAACACAACATTCCCATTTATATACTATCTTTTTTTGTGCTCCGTATTGGCTGAATCGCTCCCGAGCCATTTTTCAACCAGATGCTTTTGTCAGTAAACAACTTTATCTCTTGGGATATGGGTTATTCTCTCTAGCATTATCTATATTATGTTATCGCCTTTCATTATCTTTTGGCTCAAAACCATATGGCACATGATAGCGGATCCTGTGCAAGTATTAGAAACCAGAATTCTCTGTCTTGGACAGAATGTGGATCAAAGGAGGAGTTATTCGCTTATTTCTCATAAAATGGTAAAGAAATAAAAGTAGAGAAGAAAAAAAAGCAGTTGATTCATTTGTTGAAGATATTTGAGGTAGACTCATTAATTATATTACTAATTTTTGCACTATTGTAGTTCAAGTGTAACCCCTATATCTGTTATATATACCCTGCTAACCAGTAGTTTGCATTTAAAATTACAAAAAGTTCAAGGCACGGCCAGTTCAAAAACACCTTGGTAAAGAGCGTTTGGGAAAAAAAACATAATTACAGGAAAAAAGTTGATTCCAGCTGACGTCAAGCTGCAGATGAGTACACTTTGGCTTAATTTTAAAGAGGAGGATAACTGAGGTTACTCTCTCACAGTCAGACAGCTAGCCAATTAACTAACCTATTTACCGACATATTAAACGGCATCAAAACAGGAATTTTTTTTCTGCGTCTTGCTTTAGTTGATTGGCTATCTGGGCAACGGAACTGTGCCTGCGCTGAAAACTATTTCAAATTTTTCATGTGTGTATAAAAACCACTAGAAACAACAACACACAGAACATGAGAGAAGCGCAAGACACACGTTCCATAAGAAAACAATAGTTTTGCAGGTAATGCGTTTCTATCTGGGTGACCCTTACCCAGATGTCTCATGTCTGTGTCCAGTACCCTAGGACAGCTTAGTTTGCTGTAGCAAGACTGGAAGCAGAAAGTAAACTGTTTTTTGTTTGCATTTTGCTTTTATTATGCTTCATATACCCTGCTTGAGACAGTTTAAGGGCTGAACCTCTGAGTCACTGTACCCAGAGGTTGAACAAGAAAGCTCACCAACACAGCTCCCAAAACCACTATGTCTTATATTGTTTGTTTTATGATCTATTTTACTTATATATCTATGATTTTATTTTATATCTATCGATGTGTAAAGGGGACAACTTTACACAAGGTATTGGACTCAACTTTACTACTTACAGTTGCATTCACTTTTGCCTGCTATTTAGATATTTGTTTCTCTGTTATGAATTACATTTTCATAAACTCTTGTGTAATATTGTGTGGTCACTGATGAAAAAACATAATTTCTTATTTGTTATTGTAATTATAAAACTGAATTGAAGTCGTTACATGCTCTCTTCAAAGACACCAGAGTCCTTTGATAAAAATAGTAATTTTACTTCGGAGAACACGGAGGTCACTGGTCTGCCACGGCCTTGATCGCTTAGTTTGTTATTGTGATTCTGACTTTGGTGATCCAAACTAATGCGTCAGTCTTGTCACTTTGAAGAGAGCATTGATTAGTAGATGTACCGGCTTCAGTTCCCTTTGGAAAGGGTTGTCTGATGGCAAGGTAAAGTTGTGAAAAGATTCTAAATATAATGGCAACATTTCTCTGCTGCCCCGTCCACAGGTTTTTCTGGGTTTGTTGTGTCACATTTTGCATTTTTCCCCATTATGGACAACTTTTGGTAAAAGCTCCCTCTGGTTTCTCAGTTTGATCTTTTTGAACAACTGTAAACAAGCCAAAAGTGATAGTGTATCACTTACTGCCCTCCATCTGCAGTTTGTGCCACAGGAACAATGATGTGACAACATGTGCCAGCGCCACTGACAATGGTAGCTGTTTATCAAAGACACCAATTCCCATGAACACTACCTCATGATGTCATCAAGCTACATCATTTGTTACTGTTTTGATGTGAGAAACCCCTAGTGGCAGCAATTACATATTATACACTATTTTAAATGCAAAAATGAGATTTTGCTGAACTCTTGTTCAGTTGTGACCTGCATTACTGTCCATAGTTGTCTGAACACTCATACATTTTCGTAGGTTATTACAGCAAACTCTATGGGTGGGTTAACATTGAGACACATTGTATTATGCTGCAGTTCATTTTCACTGATTCAAATGTGCTTGTAAGCCAAATATAATGCCTTATAAGCACATATACAGTGCTTCAGAATTTATTTTTTTGCATTTCATTCAGATCAAATTATTCAGTGTCTGAACTACTTCACATTGTGAACCACACTGACATGTAATTGCGTCCAGGTCTGAGGTTGCATCTTTGCTGTGTGGTCTAGTCATGACCTGAGGTGTTTTAGCCCCCACCCTCCACCACCCCCAGCTCCCTGCTCAATGCTCATTGCTAGACGCCATGTCTCATTTGAATATATTGATTGGACCATCTGTAAGCCATTTATCTCCTTCAAAAGACCGTTAAAGTAGGCCTCCCCACCTCTCAGCCCGCCCACCACTGTTTCCCTGACAGAGAGAATATACACTCGCATAAAACAGGACACACTGGTTGAAGAAATGGACCAAATAGCCTCAAAATATTGAATTCTCTTACTGAAAAGCCACCTTTAAACAAATAAAAGCAGCAACGGAAGCAGCCGTGCTCGCTGTGATTTGAGATAAGGGCTGAAAACACATCATGTAAACACAGGCCCATGGTGGGCGAGCTGAACGCACAACTCTAGCCTGCTTTGGGGAACCAAACACTATCTAATGCTTCATTTAGTGTTGCTGAAATTCCCACCAAATAATGAAAACAATTATTGCATTCATATGGTGAATAATGCCTCCTTCAAATAATCTGCTTATCTGGCCTTGCCTCCATGGCTTTACGCTTGTGTATGCGTGTCTGTGGATGTGTGTGAGTATCTGCCTATCATCATAAAGTGCACCATGATGTCGCTGAAGCAGGGTTCTGGCACATCTGCAAGCCCTAGATATTCTTTGAACATGCATACGTGTCGTCAGAAGAGTGAATGCATCATCATGATTGACTTATTCCTGACATTCCCAGTGGTAAAGCCTAGGTAAAGGATTACCCTCTATTCTTGGACTGCTGCCCACTGTACAGTAAAGACCCTTGAACACACACATAAGAAAAACACACTCACATACAAACTGTGCGTCTCCAACAGGCATACGTCTCTTTGTGTGTAGCGCCTTTTACTGCCTCTTTGTTCCCTCTTTTGTCTCCATTCTTCATTCAAATCTGTTTTCTCCTCAGACAAATCGTTGGCGGGCAGCCATTTGCAAGACCGAGCAAGGGGGAAGCACAGAGCTAGAGAGGAGGCTAGATGAAGAGAGGGAGACGGGGGAAGGCAGAGGAAGAAAAATAGAAAAAGGAGGAGTAGAGGGGAGCAGGGAAGCATGGAAGAGAGGAAACTGAGAGGGGAAAGACTGAGCACGGAAAAAGAAAAAGGGAAACTAAATGAAATGGTAGAGGTGAATTCATGCTCCGCCCCTCAACATGAGCACATTCGGCTGTTTCCTCAGCATGGCGGTTGCGGATCACTCTCTACTCCTGCGGCTGCAAGTTAACATTTGAAATTTCTCTACTCCGACAAGGTGAAGGGTGGCGGTCGCTATCCAGCGGAGACCTTGCCTCTGTGTGTAAGTACAGGGCACGGGCAGATGGTGGAAAATTGGCGTCGGCACTTGAACCATACGGAGCATATGCACATGGGGGAGTTTGCAAAGACCCGGGGCATGGGGTGCGAGCCGAGGACCGGCGCCTGCTGAGGCTGGCACAAGACACAAGGCACTGACATTGGCACTGGTGAGGGGTAACAGTGTGCCTGAACTTCTCTTGTAAGGCCCCAGAACTGGAGAGCTGGATATTTTAACCCGACATTGTTTTTTATGCTAAATAACAAATTTGCGCCAGAGAGCGATGTCCTATCCATTGTCAGTTCCTGCTTACTATGCACTTCAAATTAATGCTTTCCAGATTGTCTAACAAAGTCTGAAACTCCTTTGATGGTGGAATTTGGTGGGCAGTGTCCAACAACTTTTGTAACTTTCCGAAAAAGACAATTCAACGGTTACTCCCACTTTATACAGTAATTGGGCAATCGTGTCGAGGTGTGAAAGTATGCCTTAACTTTTGGTCTGAAAGGAGAAGTTTTGCCCTATTTCACGGTTCATCGCATCCCAGGCTTTCATTGCACCGACAGGATCTTCAGACCACCTTTGAGTGTGGCCATACAGAAACGTATGTTCAGACAGCACATCATGCAAGCTAGTTTGCTTAAGACATACAGAGATTTTTATGTTGCCCAGGGTCAAAGGCACCGAATCCTATTCCACTGGGTGACAGGGAGGGTACACCCTGGGCTGGTTGCCAGTCTATCACTGGGCTAACATAGATAAGCATACAACCACATTCACACATCTCACTTACACAACAACAATTCCAGTACAACTGACCAGAATGGCTACACATCCTATCTCCTATAGATGATAACTTATATAATGACAAATCACAAATCTCTAATGATGCAAAAAGTCTTAAGCCACAGTAACACCTCCTAGATGCTGAATTTTCTTTACACCACACAATGTGAAAGCATTGGACAGAACATAATAAATTCGTAGGGCTTTGGTTTCTCCTGAGGATGGCACTGGGAGAAAAGCCATTCAAATTAAAAATGGTTAATCAACTTAGGCACTTGAATACATTTTATTGAAATCTGCCTATTTTGATGTTTCTTGTGTCCAAGTGGAAATTTTGGGATGATGCTGGCACCAGATGAAAGGTAGGGGGACCACAAAAACATTCATGTGACCATGAAAACCAACAGCAAATGTTGATCCTCATGGACCAAGGTGTTGGTCAACAGGAAACCCAACCTCAACAGTGGTGCTAGAAAGAAGTAAAGGAATCACCAAAAATAGGAATCATCATCCCAATACCCACAGTCAAATTTTAGGGCCAGTTGATGAGATAGTAGCTGAGATATCTCGCTCTGGACTGGAATGTTGGCAGAATGGACTGACTATTCAACCATTTTAGAACCCTCATTTAGCATTACAAAACCATCTAAAGAACTCCATCCACAGGAAATTGGATGCAAAGGTTGAACCATTTCCATCACCTCCAAAACACAGTTCATGGTGCGGACCAACAGTTTTCTCTCACAGCTAATTGGGGCTGTCAGGGTGCAACACTGTTTGCATGCAGCATGCAAGCAGGCAAATGTTCAGGTATATGGCCCGCTGAGGTCAAACCTCAGACCTACTTAAAATGCTATCCATGCCACCTATGATAAATATTAAAGATTTCTTGCAAACATTTATATTATTGACATTATAATCAGTCTGAGGCCATTTAATCAAACAGAGCTGGACAGTGCTGATAGCAGTGAGGGATATGGTAGGCCTGTACAGAGTCAGACGGCAGCATTGTCATATATCTTCCAGACTAGAGGCCTGTCACAGGGGTGCTGCAACATAAGGTCATCAAAGTATGCACATCGCATGTCCAGTATCCATGAAGTCATCAAACTTAAAACTTCCTTGGAGTTTACATTTTGTCTAGATAAATCCACATGATGTAAATGTCCACATCACAAATGCCATCAGTACAATAAAATGAATAATGTACTTACATACTCACAAATATTTCCTGCATAGATACCAGACAGCTTCCAGACAGTTCAAAGGGAGTAATCATGCTCTCGTTCAGGTAGGCTTTTAATTTAAAACACTGGTAAGATGTGTTGAGTTTCATTGATGAGCTAGAAGTGATTGGAATTATTTAATGATTGAAAACAATATTTCTTTAAAAAAAAGAAACGAAGAGGACAAGAGTTACCTGCATGACATGGTGATGTAATTTTCCTGATGAATGAATCCTGTGGAATTGCATATTAACCAGAATTGACCATCTAAGTCATTATATTGTGTTTTTAGCAGCCAATTATTGAACTATTATTTGACACTTGGCCTGTTTTTTAATACCTGTCTTTATGTGAGAATGTATGATAAGTTATTAAAATATTATTAAAGCATATTTCAGTTCTACAATATATAAACAAAGATTGTACTTCACCAAAACAGCCATTTACACTTATTTTTGCACAACATTCCCAAAAAAACGGCCTGCTGTGCTATAAAAACACTGTCAAAATCCGGCTTTGGCCCAGCTTCAACAATAATTCAACCTCTATTACAGCTCCTCCCTGAAAATCAGGACAATGATGTACAAGTGTATCTCAGGCAAGTGTGTATGTTTACCAATCGATCTACTCCACCCTGACATCTTCAGAGTCCTAGTGTCATTATGGCCACTGTTTGGTGCTATAAAACAGAGTTGGACAGTGCTGATAGCAGTGAGGGATATGGATGGGCCTATACAGAGTTAGACAGCGGCATCGCCATACATCTTCCAGGGTAGAGGCCTGTCACCGCTGCGCTGCTACAGACGGGTTTGTCATAGAAGTATGCACACAGGCATGTCCAGAATCCTTGCATAACACTGATGTGTACCGGCTAGCTAACTGTAAGCACACATTCACACACACACACACACACACACACACACACACACACACACACACACACACACACACATTTTTGTGAAAACCTTATTTCTGCCTTGTCCCATCTTCCTATCACCAGTCCATCACACCTTCCTAAAACACACACAACAGCCCCCCTCACACACACACACACATACAGTCCTTTCTTTCTTAGATGTGTCTGTACACGACTCCCTGGCCGCAAATCCTTCAGTGGGATGGATGAGTGTCTCCAGCCCATTCATCATCCGCCTTATCCGCCACCCTCGCCACTGTTTTTATATCAGCCAGCAGTCACACTGACAACTGATGGCCCTCTCTCTCCCTCTCCCCTCCCTCGCTCCCTTCCTTTCTTTTCTCCCCCACAAGTCTTTCTCGTGCCATTTCTCTTTTTTCTCGCTCCCCAGTGCCCTACTTGCTTTGCTTGTACGCCTGACAGTGTGCATGTTTGTGGGCGTTCATGCACACTTTCTCACCACCTCCTCCTCCTCCTTCCCCCGCTCCGTGCAGATCTCCTTCCTCTCCACCTCCCGCCCTCCCCTATCGTCTTCCCCTCTCCATGTCCCTCTCCATCTATCTATCTCTCTCCTGTGCACCGTTGGGACCAGAGTGGCACCTTCAGAGCGGCCCGTAAAAAGCCCTATAAAAAGCCCCAACACGGGGAAGAAAGGGTAATGATGAAATTTAACTGCTCCTCTTGGTGCACCTGGGGTCTGGCCCTGCATGTGTGTGTATGTGTGTGTGTGTGTGTGTGTGTGTGTGTGTGTGTGTGTGTAGATGTGTGCGTCGTGTATGTGTTTGTGTGTGTTCAGCGAGCGCGAGGCCTGGGCACTGAACCGGAACTGCCCTGCAAGGGGGGTCAATGTCACGGCGCCGCCATGAGAGTTATCGCTTTTTAAAGACGCACTATAGATTTTGTGGGGGAACTCATTTACACCGGCATAAAAAGGAAGGTGGCAGGGGAAGTTTAAAATCTAAAAAGGACTGGGGACTGGGAGACCTGGAGGAAAATGGGTTGGACGGCTTGAGTGGCCTCGCCGGTGTGATACCGATTTAACCCTTTGTGGAGGATGGACACTGAGTTTTATCCTTTTCTCTCAGATGGACTGAAACAAAAACAAAACCAGGATAGACTCAAATTTTGAATGTTATGAGTTCAAGTTATGTGCCTTTGTCTGTTCAGATGTAGCTCGCACTTTATTGCAGTATACTGTGTACAGTATATGTCTATAAAATCCATACAGAGTTATGTCCACTGCAGATGCCGAAATAGCATGTTGTTAAACTGATTTATGAAGTGTGTCGCCTCAACATTTTTTAATGTTTTATTGATGCAGGAGTGCCATAACGTCAATGAATAGATCCCATTAAAATCTAATGGCCTTGTGGTGTATGTGTTTGTTGGTGCAAGGTAAATTCTCCAACTGTGTGTGTGGGGTTGGAGCCACATGCACCTTCAGGCCTGTATGTCAGGGCAGGACTATTTTCAGTTCAGTTACTGGCCGGAGCCCAGCACCCTCCCCGGGCTCAGATGCTGGCTCACTGGCCTCCTCAGCCTTACCCTGCCTCCCCTGCCTCCCACCTGTCCCTGGCTGCGAGCCGCCGCTGCTGGCCCGCCGGCGTGGAAAATCAGCCTTTGATGGGCCTGTGGGGACTGGAGGAGGGGGACGGCCGGGGGTTGTGGAGAGGATGAAAGCCCCGGGACGAGCAGCATGCACTGACTGACAGGGCTTGACACTGGAAGGGCCCGAAGCCCAGGCCTGGCACCTTTCCTCTAGCAACCACCAGGCCTCATTGACTGGCCTGCAGAGCTGAGTCCCATACATAAGTGTCTTCCAGGCCTCCATGTAAGGAGCCT